GAAACAATATAAGAAAACAATAACATTATCACAATCATGGAATAATATAAGCTGTAAAACATAGCACTTATCACGCCTTTTGTAATTCAATCATTATACAACATATCCTTTTCTCATTTACCAGCCTACTAGTATCTATGGGGGTCTATAGGAGTCCCGCTACCCGTTAACCTTTAACATTCATGATCAGTTTCCAGGGCCGTCCCCATACCCCGTCCGGTATGGGCGCCAAAACCATAAACCTCAATACCCCGTCCGGTATGAGGGTAAAACGGGCCGTCCCCATACCCCGTCCGGTATGGGCGCCAAAACCATAGGATCTCCATACTCAGCCTGGCATGTGAGACCACAATCCCGGTAGGGTTCCCTACGGACCCGGTCCGTCCACCATCTCCCAGGATATCTAGTCAAGCTGACCCCATCATATAATTATCAGTCTACACAATCTTTCATTTTCCTTTTCCTCAATAAGCATCATCAATTCACATTTAAACAAGCAAATCGTAATTCATGTCAAACAGACAACATACAGTATCAGTATTTCAGTCATTCAATCAATAATCAATAAAACAGTAAAATATGCACACGAAACTATAAAATGAAAACATCAAACTTCATACTGCATTCAATACTGAAAATTAGATCAAACAATAACAGACCAACATTGTATCAGACTCGGGCTCCATCGACAACCTCAATCAATTATACATCTATAAAGTCTCAAAATACTGTTTAATTATTTATTAAGCTTTAATACCGTGATAGGAAATAGGGTGAGGGGTCCTTACTTGTTTTCGGGATCCGAATACGATTCACAGTGCGCCTACAGGCCGTCCCTAATTTTTCCTGAATTTTTCCCGGGGAACTGAAACACACTAACAGTACCTGCACGTGTTCAAAAAAAATCCAAATTAGGCCTAGGGCCTCTTTCGGCCCAAATCGCAACTCCGGCACGGCGGCTCCGCCGTGCTCCGGCGACGGCGCTGCCGCTGGCGGCAACGAGTCGCCTCGGGTTGGCTGTTTTCGGCCGTTTTTGGCCGAATTTGGCCACACTCGCATCGGTCCTTGTGAGAAAACAACCCTAGGGCCCTCGGGGGGCCAAAAAATCACGGAAAAACGGAGCTTACCGGCGGCGGCGCTCTCGGATGCGGCGGCTCTCCGGCGAGGTTCGTGTTTTGGTGATTCGGCTCCAGTCAACCTGTAGAGAAAAGAATGGTGATCACGGTGATATAAAAATTGCATCGAACGGAGGTCGGGAAGGGCCTCGTCGGAGGCAAAAACTGAGAGGGGGCGCGGCGGCGCCGCTGGTCTTCGGCCGCGTATTCCGGCCGTTTGGCCGGGATTTTGGCTTCGATTTGGCCATAGGAGGAATCAGCGTGGAAAAACGAGTCGGGGGTATGAAATTTACCTCGGTCGGCGGTCGAAAATTTCCCCGGTGCGGCGGCGGGTGGCGGCGGTCGGCCTCTGGTTCGTCTTCTCCGGCGAGCGGCAGGCGGCTAGGGTTTGTGGTCTGGTGTGGGGGTTCTATTTATAACCCCTTGCCTTTTGATCTCAGCCGTCCATTTTGTTTTAATCTGGGCCGTCGGATTTCACCCACGCGGATCGCCAACGTGGCTACTTTTCGGAGTGACGTGGTCTTGCCACGTGGCAGGCCTCGGTTGGCCGGGACTGCTGACCGGGCCTGCTGACGTGGCTTTTTTTTTTTCTCTCCTCCTTTCCGGGTGCTACACCCTCACCTTATTCCCTATTATGGAATTGAAGTTTAAGTATAAATAACACGGTATTTTGCGTAATTTAAAAAATATTGATAATTAATTACATGTTACTAATTGAGTTAGAACCGGTTATTTATTACTGTTTGTCATATTTTAACTGATTGTTTAATTTTACAGTTTCGAATGCATGATAATACACTGTAAGTGGTAAGATAATTCGGTTATGTTTATTTTATGCATATATTAGTTGTTTTGCGTAATTTACAGTTAAATTGTAAAAGTGAAAATTAAATTTAAACAGAAAATTGCTTAATTAAGTGAATAGATGAATAGTAACCTTACTGAATATCCTGAAAGATGGTGAACGGATCGGGTACATAGAAAATCCTACCGTGAACGTTGCCTCATAGTGGACGGGGTATCGATGATTGATATTTTTGACACTCATACCGGATTGGGGTAATGGCCCGTTTCACCATAATACCGGACGACATATTGATTGATGGTATTTTGGCGCTCCTACCGGACGGGATATGAGGACGGCTCGTTTCATTATCATACCGGACGGAGTGTTAATGGATGATACTTTTGGTGCTCGTATTGGACGGGGTATGTGGACGACTGGTTAGTTGATAATGTTGAATGATAGTTTACGCGTAGTGGGAACATCCCTATGAACCTTCATGGATACGAGTAGGTAGATAAAAAGATAAAGTTATTGTTATGGCTAATTGAATATGAGATTATGATATTGATTATGTTATTGTCTTTATAGGTCAGTTTTAGAAATCTCACTATGGTAAATATACGGTAAATGATTTTATTTATGATAAATGAATTTACTTAAATTAAGAACTCCATTAGTTGTTTTTGTAATTTTTACCAATTTTCATTTATGTATCGTTGAGTTGTGTGATTTTCTTATTAGGATAGTGTAACTCACTGTTTTATTAATTATTTCATATCAAAATGACCAATATCCATATCTCGATTCACAAGAAGATTGCGAATATAATGTCCAGTTGTTTACTTTCTATTTATTTCTTTAATTTTTCGTTTGTTATTTTAAAATGATAATTCTCGTAACTATATTTGGTATTTTGAATTATTGTGTAATTAATGTAAATTGTAACATTATTATTTCGCTTATGCATTTAATTTATAGTGTATTTTCTTTTAAGTTATGGCCTGTTATATTACAAGTATACAATATACTAAAAATTAAATTAAAATTATTCAATTAAAATAAAATTAAATTCAATACGGATAAACATATATATATATACATAAATATATGTTTATTGGGTGTTGGAAGTGGGTTGTCAAGATAACCCTTGTAAAAATTTTCAATTATATGCTATACAATACAAAATTATTAAAATTTCATATGTATATAATAAATTCACCACTAAAATCTTAAAAAATAAAATATGTTAATTTAAAGGTTATGCTAATGCCACTTTAACATTTAATGCCAGTTTTTTTTTTTTTTTTTTTTTAATATAAAAATTATGCCTTGGATCTGGCAGCTAAAAGATATGGCACAGATTAGGGGTTTAAATATTGTATTATCCAAAGCTGGTGTTAATTATTGTATTTAAATCCTTAAATTTTTGTGAATAATCACAAACTTTAATTTTAATTTCATTGAGTTAATATATATATATATATAAAGAAATTATTAGTAGCAACTTGCTTTCGGTTTGTTTATGGGGAACTTGCTTTGTTGATTGCTATAAAGCATTGCAAATCTCCATGCAAAAAGCATCAATTAGTGATTTAACTTTGGATTATTAAATTAGCTAAAGTGGTAGCATGCCATTCATTCTCTCTACAAATTGTAGGATTCCAAGATTAAATGAGTTTAAATTGAAATACCATATAATAATGACATAAAAAATTAATCTTTCTAATTTAAATAAATATTATTTGTTATTATTTTCAATGGTGTTGTGTGTATATATATATATAACATCTAAAGGAATTTATGGGTCATAATATAAAAATAATCAAATTCCATTCCTAATTATAAAATAATTTAGACATTATAATATAATCATTACACTAAATTATAAAATCCAATAATTTTTTCGAAGAAAGAAAATAATTGAAGGTAACGCCCGTCTAATTGGGAATAAAATAAAATAAAGCTGAAGAGATAAATAAGACAATTTT